CCTAGCAAATGCATTCATTAAGCGCTTACAAATGATTGCTCAATCATTGGTCATATGTACCAAACTCTCGATCGCTACTTAGGGCCATGCAATATTGCACACAACCATATTGGTCCACTTGAGGCCTGTTACGACCCAACCATATAGTGCTCTTCAGTTGGTTATCTAATACGAAGCCGACATATTTCATCTACGTGTTTTTGGTTATCTGGTCTATATGTCGATTTCACCGCCCTTATTATAATACCCTAAAAATTTTAAATATATGAATTGAAATATTCAAAATTATGAATATGTGAAAAAAATCGAGAATTTATATTAATAACAAAGAAGTTATTAACATTTAAAGTCGGGGATAAGTTGGTAATTTTATATTTCTTTAGAAGGCCCCAAAAAATCTGGAGCCATGTGACATGCCACGTGTGGCTGGGATTGAAAGAAATAAAATGGACGGTTGGGATTGAAAGAAAAAAAAAATGGACGGTTGGGATTGAAAGAAGAGAATAGAAAGGAGAAAAGGAAGGGAGGAATAAGGAAAGGTGACCAATAGGAGGAGAGGATAGGAAGGGGAAATGAGAGAACTAAGAAACAAAGGATTGGGGCCCAACCTTGGTGACCCGACCCGATCGACTCCCCTAGCATTTTTTGATGGGTTTTCACCCATTTTTCGGTGAATTTCCTCAAACCACCATTTAGAAACCCCTCCATAACCTTCTCTCTTCCTATTACACCTCAAAAATAATGAAATTTGATCTTGAATTTGGAATGAACACACCAGTGGGTGCCGACCCTCCTTGCTCGAAATCCACCAAATCTGAAATGATTTGGTTCAATAATCACCATCGTGAGACTACCCTGGGGGTCTAGAACATAACCCAAACCATGGTAGGGGCGGCGGAGCACTGAAGGTGATGAATTGAGATTACCCATTTATAGGGTTTCCGGCAGGTTCGAGGTAAATTGGGGCATTTCAAGGCCAAATTGAACTTGGCCACATGTATAAAATTTTCTCTACTCTTTGAGATCTTCATTTCTGAAAATTTTGAGAATTTTTAAGAATAGTTGAACTTTCCGACGAGTTGGGGTGGCCGACCGCCACTTACGGCAGCGCGTGGCTAAGACAACGATATTGCTCTTTTTAAGCAAACTACAATGTTATGAGTCCATATTTATAATCTATTTGATGAGGATCAATTGTTTGGGCTTAATTTATGAAGTGTTAGTCACTTTAAAAGGTGAAGATTATGAAATAGAATTTGGAATGTGAACTACGAATGGCTTGATCCCTGTTTAGGGTACGTAGGTAGTCTAACGAGACGTTAGATGCAGCCATAAAATAAGTGAGATTTGATATAGAAATTGTAATTATGGACCATGGATGGAAACAAGGCCTAAATAAAGAAACATGTTAGGTGGTAGTTAATTAATCGAGGTAAATCTTTTGTTAAACGATTGTGCTAAAAGAAGGAAGTTGGTCTATAACTTGAGTTTTATCCTTATGCTTTGATAATCAAATGTTGGTTATAAATTTATTGTGAGGGTTCATAAAATTAAAGTGTTTAATTGGGATTAATGGTAAGTTAACTAAACAAGAGTGTAGTTCAGGCCTATCACCAATATACTTATTTTCCGAAACAAAAAAAAATATTTTCGGGGTTGGGTCATTACACTTATATACAAAAATAGGGCTTCAATGAAGGATGAGAATTTATGTCGAATATGATTCTCTTTCAATAATTTGTTACTTAGAATATTTGGCAAACGAGCTTTTTACTACTCGACCATCTTCCCATCATTAGGGGGAGATAAGAGTGTCACCGTTCCTGAAGAACAACGCGAATTATCGTGGAAGACTCTCACTTTGTCTCATTTAGATCCCCACACTGGTCAGTCTGAAACTAAAGTGCAACACATAATAGATCTTCAGACCATAGCTCAGAGCATGCCAGATGTTTTTACAGATCTAGCGCGAGTGACAAGATCACATATTCCAGTTGCAAATGTGCCGACACAGATGGATGTACCAAATGTACGACGTATTTCCCTCCTAGAGGAGCGAGATGCCAACTTGGCCTATCCACGTACATTATCGGCTAGCCAATCCCCTGCCTCTACACAAAAGCATGGCAGACCACTTAGTTCAAAGGATTCATACCCCCGAAAAGAGGAAACCCACGACACAAGCTGTTGAGCCTACCATGAATCCGAATTTCGCCTACTCATTCTATCTAACTCATGAGGAAATTCTAGATTACGGAAGCGTCATTAAAGAGATGAATCTACCTCCCGAGAATCATGAGATTTCGGTCCATTATGCTAGCTTGGATGATGTTTGGTGTAGAAATGAGATGATTATCGATGATGCATTAACATGTGTAGTAACTACTGAGATCATGTTGAGCGATGACGTTGAACACTGTTCTATTGACAAATATCGATGTAGAACTAATTGGTCAAATTGGAAACAAGCAATCCAAGTCGAACTTAATTCACTTCGAAACGTAAGGTGTTTGGACATGTAGCTCATATTCCTCCATATGTGAAGCCAGTTGGCTACAAGTGGATTTTCATTCGGAAGCGTAAGGAGAAGAACAAAATTGTACGTTACAAAGCTCGTCTTATTATGCAAGGCTTCTCATAATGCCCCGAGATTGACTATGAGCAAACTTATTCACTTGTTATGGATGTGATTACTTTTCGCTACCTTATTAGTTTGGTAGTTTCTGAAAAACTGAGTATGCAGCTGATGGATGTAGTAATTGCGTATCTCTATGGGGATCTTGATACGGAAATTTATATGAAAGTTCCTGAATGACTTACTTTAACTGGATCAAATATTTTTAAACCCCAAAACACACTCTCAATTCGGCTGAGGTGTTCACTCTACAATTTGAAGCAATCCGGAAGAATGTGGTACAACCGTCTAAGTGTGTATTTGACTAGTTAGGGATATGTGAACGCGAACTATGCCCTTACGTGTTCATTAAGAAGTCAAATTCTAGTTTTGCGATTGTTACCGTTTATGTCGACGACATGAACCTCATCGGAGCTCTTGAAGAGCTCGAGAAAACTGCCGAACACCTGAAGTTAAAATTTGAGATGAAAGATCTAGGAAAGACTCGATACTGTCTCGGTCTTGAGATAGGGCACCGTTCGGATGAAATCTTAGTACATCAATCGAACTACACCCAGAAGGTGTTGCACCACTTTAAAGAGGATGAAGTGAAGCCTTCGAGTACTCATATGGTCATACGATCGCTAGATGCGAAACGAGATCCCTTCCATTCGAAGGAGGATGATGAAGAGATTTTGTAACCCACAATTCCTTATCTAAGTGCGATAAGTACTTTATTGTACTTAACTCAATGCACTAGACTCGACATCTTCTTCGCTTTAAATCTTTGGCAAAATACAATAATGCATCGACATGCAGACACTAGACTGGTGTTAAAGACATCTTCTGTTACCTTAAAGGTATTACAGATCTAGGCCTGTTATAGCCATACAGATCTTCGAGTGATGTCGCACTCCTTATCTCGAGTCAATTCTTGCCTTATTGGATATACCGACGCAAGTTACTTATCTGACTTGCACAAGGCGCACTCTCAAACGGGTTATGTCTTTATTGTTGAAGTACTACAATATCTTGGAGGTTAACTAAATAGACCTTAGTTGCCACTTTGTCTAACCATGCTGCAATACTTGCCTTACACGAAGTTACTTGAGAACGCTTCTGGCTGAGAGCAGTTATGGACCATATTCGAAGCTCTTGCAATCTTTACCTCATCGTTGACGTCCTGATGACGATCTATGAAGATAATGCAGCATGCATCAAACTACTTAGGAAGGGTTATCAAATATGACAACACCAAGCACATAGCATCGAAGTTCTTCTTCTCATGTCAATAGCAAGAGCATCAAAAGATTGAAGTCACGCAAATTCGGTCATAAGACAATTTGGCTGACCTATTCACCAAATCACTACCTAAGGCGATGTTTCAGAAACTTGTTCAAGGAATAAATATGCGTAAACTTTCTGAGTTATAACATTGTTAGTTCTCTTTGGAATTATGTCGAATTCAGTGGGAGAATCCTGAAGTATACTTTCTTGACCTTAATGTATTCTTTTTCCCTACGATTAGGAGCATTTTTCCCTTTGGATTTTTGCTACCAAACAAGGTTTTGACGTGCCACCCACATTGGGTTGATTATATCTTGAATGACGTACTGTAGAAGTTTCATTTGACTTTGCATTTACCCATGCATTTTTCCTTAGACTATAGGTTTTGTTCCTACTGCGGTTTTACCATAGCCGTTGAGTTTTTTGTGATTCTTAGTTCCATATATAAGTTCCTACTTTACTTTGAGACTAGCGTGTTCCCAAAATTAGTGCCAACGAGTCAACTACCTCAACTCTACATGATGCAGAATCTAATTGAGTATTTACACACTCAAAGGGGAATGTTATAGACATTGTATTTAAGTGTAATCGTGTAAATCCTATATTAGATTTGATATTAGTATTCTTCTCATTAGGACTTGTATTCCTTGGAGGAGAAAAATTCTTTCATCGCTTATTACTATAAATAAAGATACTACGCAGGGGGAATAACATAATCCTCTACACAACCCTAACACACATCTCTCTCCCTACTCTCTTTGCCATGAACCCCTCTCCCCGTTAGATAAAATAAGCCACAACACTAATTATATTCTAATCCAATCATAAAAACTATACTAATACAAATTATATTATACCGATGCAAGTGATCTTCTATCACAATAAAGGAGAGAATTATTGTCTTTACTACGGCGTGAGTTTGAATCTCGTCGGCTTCCTAATATAGTATCTAATCTAACAAATCTATCATTTGAAAAAAAAAATTATTTATTCCGATACAATCTTAAACACTATGCCAAACGAGATTATTCATTCCGATCTAATCGTAATTAGCTCGTTCAATTTTAAAAGGCCACGTGGAAAACCAACGTCGGCCGACCGACTCCCTTCAGACCGCCTCTCGAATTTCCCTCGTTTTCAAACCCACCGACGTCGATTGCAACTCCCAGCCCCAACAACACAACAACCTAACCGACGCTTTTTCCCCCAACCAAAATTAAAAGTCCACTTCTCCTTCCTCTTGACTCCGACCCGAAACATATCACCCATGGCCGTGGTCACCGCGAGCCCGGAGAGGATCGAAGCTCCTCCACAGAACCCGATCAAGGAGCCCTCGCCGTCGTCCACGCCGTCCAGACTCTCTACCGCCGACGCCCCCTCCGAAGCTGAAGGCTCGTCTTCGCCGCTTTTCTCTTGCTCGGCTGTCACACCCGATTGCAGCGAGACTTGCAATTCATCTCCCACCGCCGATCAGGTCATCCCCGTTCGCATATTCTTTTTACTTGTACTGTGGTTCTGGAAAGTTCGTAATTTTGGCCTCCCAGTTTGGAAACACAATCGCACTTCAAATTCTTTTGTATTTGTTAGTTAATTGTTACATTCCAATTTGGGGAGGGGAAATCAGTGCAATTTTGTTGCTTGTGAAAAATTAATTTAGACTAGTTTTGGTGAAGAAATGATTATCTGAGTAAAAAATGAGGAAAATTGTGTTTATTTTTTTATTTGTTTGCTTTTATATTACAGTCTGCAGCATCACTGAAGAGTGAAGAGTATCGCCAGTTGTTTCGCCTTCCGCCTGATGAAGTGAGTTAACAGAGTTTCGGTTTTTATTCAAAGAGTTTCTTTTCCCGCTTTCTTATTGTGTTTTTTTTTTTTTTCGGTTATTGTTTTTTTTCGTTTTGATTGTGATTTAGAAACGGAAAGTAAAGTATGGATGCTAACCATCCTGGGACTTAACATTTTCTATTGATATATGGAATGGGAAAGTAATTGTAATTCGAAACTTGGAGGAAATCTTATGCTTATCTAGCAATGCAAAACTGCTTCGAGGTTCAATCCATCTCCAGGAGTAACAGTGGTCATTGGACAGATTTGTCATTTGAGAGTAAACTGATTTTGGAGAAGATCGGAGATTGGCGGAAAAGTAAGAAGAAAAGTAATATCTTTGAGGCTGTTCTAGGAGAAGAAAATTTGAACCTATGATTAGTAAGGAAAAGGTTATGTATTTGGTTGTTTTTAGGTGCCGTAAGTTTGCTAGAATTAAAACTCAACAGAGTACTGACTTAAAGAAAAATAAGAGTAGAGAGGACAGCTAAGAATAACATAGGAGTACTTATGTACAACACCTAGGGTACTTGAGCATCAGACCTGATACAATCATTGTTGTAACGATACATATGAACATGATCAGATTTTTCTGATGTGTCCTGTTTGTTGATACTAATCAATTATTTAAAACTGGTCAAAATATTTTGAAGAAAACTTAATTGCTGAACAATACCATAAAGCATGAGTAGAATCCATTTATGCAGGAATTATAATGTGAGTAGTTATCTTGGGGGCAATATTTGGCCTGTTAGGCATTGCAGTGAATGATAGGAGGTAAAATGCCTATTTTTTCTTGGATATCTTCACTTTATCGTTGAGTAGTAAGTTTGTAATTCAAAGGAATAGTAAAAGCTTATTCTATATTTTCTTCTAAAAAAAGTAGACTGGGTTATGGGATGCAATAACACACAGATTATTGACTTTTGGATGACATTTAACCGTTTGTGTGTCGAAGTGTACAATGTCCTCTAGTGGAGTATATATGATGCTCAGAGGAACATGACTTTACATGTTGATTCGAATAGTTATAGTTGTTGAGCATTCAGTGCGATGATAAGTAGAGGAAGTTCTCTCTCTCTCTCTCTCTCTCTCTCTCTCACATCCATGTATGCATAGAGTTGAATCTTATTCTTACTTTAATGTTATTTGAGTGTCTTTGACATTTTCTCCCTTTCCTCTACTTTTTTCCTGTTTAATATAGGCCCTCATCGAAGATTTCAACTGTGCATTCCAGGAGAACATACTTATTCAGGTTCATTTGTTATGTTCTAAATGTTATTATTTAGAAATTCAGGTGTTGTAGTATCTCTCTTATAGTTAAACTGATGTACTGCCTTCTCATTGTTTAGTTACTAGGTTATTGCTTTGCCATACTCTTTGTTTTGGTTCATGATGAAATATTGATTTTGTCCAGAATTTTAACTCTTTTTATTTACTTCTTGATTGAACGGTCATTTTTAACACGTATCCTGCTTGGCTTTGCTAACTTATTATATGTTTCTTGTAGGGTCATATGTACCTGTTTGTTCATTATATTTGCTTTTACTCGAATATTTTTGGATTTGAGACAAAGGTATGGTGTCCAACTTGTCCTCAACTTCGTCATATATAACAAATTTTACAATTGTTGCAAATTAAGTGCTATGCATCATATATTCTTTTCTTTGATTTGAAGGATTTTTAGCCAAAATGGTCGCTGAGATTTGCATAACACATCACTTTGGTCCCTGAGATTTGAAATCAATAGAAGTGGTTCCTGAGATTGTCCACTATCAATCATTTTAGTCCTTCCAGACCAAAATGACAAATATACCCTCAATTTAATAAACAATGGGCCAAAATGATTTGACAAAAAGTAAGGGTATTTTGGTCATTTTATTCTTATTTAATGGAGATTTTTCACAAAAGAATCAAAATGATTGATGGTGGATAAACTCAGGGACCAATTCTATTGATTTCAAATCTCAAGGACCAAAGTGAGGAGTTATGCAAATCTTAGGGACCATTTTGGCTAAAAAGCCTGATTTGAATTACCTCCGTCTTTCCACTTTAGCCTCTTTATGCTGATATTTCATCTTCCTCTGCTTCTAGCAATTTTAGTTATAATTTCAACAAATTTTACTTGTGCATTATTGTTCAATCATACATGTGGGATAGCTGAAAATGCTATATACAATGGAGACCTCGATTATTAAACAACTACCTACCCAAGAGTAAAAAGAAGACAACTTTACTGGCTTATACAGCCACGAAGTTTGATATCTCTACTTTCTTGTTGATCAGAAAGATGAGGATGGAAGGACAAATAGTTTTTGTCCCGTTTTTATGTATAGTTTGATGTTCTGTTCCCCTGTTTCTTCATTAGTGTTTATTTTTCAATGGGTTAATTGATTCTACGTGTTAAAAGGGATCCAGGAATCAAACAGTAATCAAAACTGATACTGATATTCCAATTTTTGGCAGTCTTTGATATAAAAACAGCTAACTATAAAGAAATTTGTGGTATTAAAGCAGGAAAATTTTGGGGAACATTATGGGTTTAATACTGAAGCATAAAGATAATTGGAATTGATACAGCGAGCTTTTTCATTTGTAGCTTTTGATTAGATTTAGCACTTGAGCGTTTGGATGCAGATGATGATCTACAATTTTATACGTGGAGCCTGTATAGTTTGCTTGAAGGATAGGTTTTGCTTAGTCATCTATAAGTTGCCTTTAGATCCAAGAATTCAGCAATTGCAAACATTTAAGGATGTAGTCCAAGTACACCCTTGTCTAATCCTGTCCTTTATTTTCGTTTGATTTGTTCAATCCAATGGCCAGAAATCAAGAGGGGTGTGTGAGAAGCCAAAAAGGGTTTGTGAAAATCACATCCCTAAAAGATATTATCTGAGAAGATGTCTGCTTGATACAAAGCTTTTAATACTCTTCGGGTTTAACCTTTGTCACACTAAAGATGACCCAAGTCTCTCCTAGTGCATCGTTCCTTTGATATCATAGACAGTCTACTGGAGTATGTGGAACTTTGTTGCTAAGGCAGTTCTTGAGGTTGGTTGAAGTCAGGAAGGCTCTGAACAATATAGCAACACAATGAAAGAATTCACCTATTCTCCATGGATCCATACGGTTCAAGAGAGTGTTTCAGAAGTTGAAGACATATTGGAGATATGATCCTAATAGATCTCTGCTTCTTTTTTAGTTTGAATGTTATCACACTGTAGATGGCCTTAAGTTTCTCCTAGGACATTAGGTGGGGAGTTCTTTTGCCAGTTCTGTTTCTAGGACATTGGTTCTTTCAGGAGATTCAAGCTCACTTTATGTGTAAAACTATGTTCTCATTTTGGTTTGGACTTTATAAAATATTATTATGTATGAAAAGTAAATTCCTCTTCAGAAAATAATCCCATTGCAAGAAGTCACAAGTGTACGAAGAGCAAAGACAGCAGGGATCTTCCCTAATGCCATAGAAATTTTTGCTGGAAGCAAGAAGGTAATGCCAAATCTGATGTTTACTATGTACTGGTGATATCTTGTAAACCCCTTGCTCCTTTTATTGTCATTTCAGCAATATCTTACACCACTTACTGATTTGGCAGTACTTCTTTGCATCCTTTCTGTCACGTGACGAAGCATTTAAGATAATAAATGATGGATGGTCGCAATATGTTGATGGTGCCAAAGAGATTACAGAACAGGTGCTAATTTATTTGTATTACAGTTGGCGGCGATAAATTCATTTTCTTTAAATGGGACATAATTTTTTTTAATAGGATTTCTTGTGAGGACTTCTGAGTTATTCTGTTCATTTCGGTATATATACTAGTTACAGGAAAATGTGAAGACCTTTGTAATAGTCTTAAAATCATATGATAGTGTGAAAGCCTAGTCACAAGGAAATGGAAAGACCTGACTAATAGTTACAACATGTAAATTTCTTATTATGCATGATCAGTCTTTTGCCTTCAGTTTGACATCAACGTATTACAATATATGCATACTTAACTCAAAAGATCTCATCATGACTTTCTTTCTTTCTCCTCCCTCTTTATCTGCAATTTTCTGTCAGGACATGTTATCTGAGACTGGCAGTCAAGAGAATGGAGCTGGAATTGAAAGGGTGGAAAGCTCCCAGTGCTTAGTTGATGAATTGGATTCCACTGACAGGTACTTCATCAGAAATATCATTAATATTTTACTCTGGTAGATGATGATTTGTAATTGTGACTTATTTTTATATAATTCTGGACCAGGAACGAGGATATTGTTTCACAAGACTCTAAGCTTGCCTCCAATGTTGTAGACGACTCTGTGTTGACATCAATTCCAGAGCAATACGATACTGTAGAAGAGGATTTAGAACCAGCTCGGAATAATGACCCTTCATGTTCGAAAGATACTTTGATCTGGAAAGAGGAAAGCTCTGATGCTCCAAACGGTGAGTTTATTGTACAATCTAGAATCATTGCTAATGTTGCTTCATTTGTCATGAATGAGCTGTGATCAAACTTGGATTCCTTTGGGTGTTACAAGTCTTTGTGTTGTGCTATGCCCCTGTGGAATACAGTTTCTATCTCACCACTTCATCTCTTTCTAGAAGCATGAAATATTTTGGGTCTTAATGGGATGGGATGTGCATGAAACATTTGATCTGTATATGCATTTCTGATTGATAAAATTATACATGCAGTCCTTAAGCTTTGGTTTAGGTTCTAAAAGGGTAGGTTTATGGGTTCAAATCTTGCTAAAGCATGTGCATATCTCTGTTGATTGGCTACTAGGTTTTGGTAATTTAATCGATGCTTCTATATTTATTCTTCAAATTTCATGTTTGAGCAATATTGGATCCACCAATTCTGGTTTGTCTTGTTAGCTGAGCTGGTTATTTTTGACATGCAGTTCCGGAGTGCTATACAAAGGTTGCAGATTCCGGTAATTTTCTTTATTTCTCGGGATAATCATATATGAACGTATGTTAACTACATTCTTCTCCCTTGAAGTTTGGTATAATTGCAGTACCCTTTAGGGTTATTTCCGACAGTTGACCTCACTTTAGGGTTATTTCCGACAGTTGACCTCATTTTCATTTCATTGTTTTCCATGAGCAATAACTTTGTAAAAACAATGTAAGTTTGATGTTTACCATTGTTTTAGGGGACAAACTATACTTCACAAACAGGTGATATATGTTTTGAGGACTATACTGTTGGAGAGAAACTTGATCAAAATTATATCATGTTATTATATTAAGTTTCATTTGTATTTAGAATATAAAAAATATTATTCCATTGTATAATCATTTTCATTTTTTAGTTTGTAGAAACCCTAAATGTTTGTTGCATCAAACGCAACTTTTTAGAAGGAGAATGGAGAGTTAAAATGTCCTAAATAACCCTAAAGACAAGTCATGTGCAGGCACATGACTTATTTTAGATGGAAAACCTCCGTGAAGGGTATATGACAAATTAATGATTTCAGAAAGTTGATATGACAAATTGCTTATATTTTTAGTTGATATGATAAATTGATATTGGGAGCAGCCTCTCCATAAATGGGGGTAAGGCTAGCCGACATTCACCTCTCTCAGACCCTGCGTAAAGCGGGAGCCTTGTGCACTGGGTACGACCTTTTTTTTTTTTATATGATAAATTGATAAAAAGTGTATAAGTTCATATGGCATTTTAAAAAATTTCCGTATAATTAAATGTTTACTCCTATTACCACTGGAAAGGGAACCATAATTTTAAAAAACTAGAAGGTAAGTTTGTGAAGTACAACTAAGCTTCAGGGAGGGGAATCTAGTATCGTCTTTTATGTTCTGCCATTATTATTATTTTTACTTATTTTTATCATTTCAAATAGTGTTTCCATTATGGAAAAGTTTGAAAATTAACATCCAATCTATGAAGTGCAGATAAAGGTTGAAGATTTCTTTAGTTTATTTTTCTCCGACGATGTGTTCACAGAATCATTTCATAGAAGTTGTGGAGATAAAGGTAAATTCCTGGAGCGTGATGAATCCCTGTATTTAGTGCATTATTCAGGTTTCTTGATGGTTCTAGAATATTGAGGCAAAATTCTATGCTTGTTTTGTTTTTAAGTTTTTAATCTGTATGGTTTTATGCCTTTTCAGAGTTGAAGTGTACTCCATGGAAACCTCATGAGTTTGGCCATTCCCGTGATGTTTCTTTTCAGCACCCTATAAAAATTTATTTTGGTATGGCCGTTTTTTAATTTTATCATTTACTGTATGAATCTCTCATGTGTGCCTACATGCTTTGTTTGATTCTTTTGTGTTTCAGTCTGTTTTAACACCGGACATAATGTTGTCATAAAGGTGCAAAATTTGGCAGCTGCCAGGAGCTCCAGAAATTTCGAGTTCACAGAAACAGGTTGCTGATATAGTGTTTATAATACCATTTTTAAATGTTTCTTGAATTGGTTTGCAATTGCATAGATTGTGATTATTATTGTGAGGAAGGGATGACAGATTAACTTGGTGCCATGTCAACTTGAGTTCGCACATTTGAAAACCTTGTTTTGTCTGGGCCAGATGGTTATTATGAACTGTAAATAATCCAACAACTTTATGCAGTCCACACTTTGCTTTCATCTCAAGAATGCGCGAGTTATTTTCGTGACACATTAACTTTGACTTTTGCCAGCCACTTAGTTATTGAGACATCACAAGAAATCAATGATGTGCCTTATGGAGATTATTTCCGTGTTGAGGTATAAGTTGCATTTCATCCAATTTCATAATTCACATTACATGTTTTAGATGATATCTTTCTTAAAAATTTATTGATTACCTTGCTAAACCTTTGCCATTGTAATAAAATAGAAATCAATTATCTTTAACCAAAGTCAATTTATCTCATATTTTTTTATTCATTTCAGGGATTTTGGGACATTGAGAGAGATCCTGATGGATCAAAGGAATGCTGCAATTTGAAGATTTATATTAACGTGGCATTTTCAAAGAGAACTGTTTGGAAAGGTGTGCCCTGGACAACACTTGTGTACTTCTTGAATTTATCTTGGTTTGTGTTGGCCAATCATGGACATAAACATGTGACATGAAAATGATTTGATTGATCGACATGAAAATGATTTGATTGATCAACATGGGAAACACCAGAGTTCCCAAAGAAATTACACGACAGGCAAAGATAGGCATACATAGTTACGTATATATGGGTCAAGATGTAGTAAGTCATACCAAAAAACATATGATATGAATTTAAAATTGTTTACTTTCTAGTTTCTAGTAGAATACAATTCATACAACAACAACAACAACAACAACAAAGCCTTTTCCCACTAAGTGGGGTCGGCTATATGAATCCTAGAACGCCATTGCGCTCGGTTTTGTGTCATGTCCTCCGTTAGATCCAAGTACTCTTAAGTCTTTTCTTAGAGTCTCTTCCAAAGTTTTCCTAGGTCTTCCTCTACCCCTTCGGCCCTGAACCTCTGTCCCGTAGTCACATCTTCGAACCGGAGCGTCAGTCGGCCTTCTTTGCACATGTCCAAATCACCGGAGCCGATTTTCTCTCATCTTTCCTACAATTTCGGCTACTCCTACTTTACCTCGGATATCCTCATTCCCAATCTTATCCTTTCTCGTGTGCCCACACATCCCACGAAGCATCCTCATCTCCGCTACACCCATTTTGTGTACGTGTTGATGCTTCACCACCCAACATTATGTGCCATACAACATCGCTGGCCTTATTGCCGTCCTATAAAATTTTCCCTTGAGCTTCAGTGGCCTACGACGGTCACACAACACGCCGGATGCACTCTTTCCATCCAGCTCGTATTCTATGGTTGAGATCTCCATCTAATTCTCCGTTCTCTTGCAAGATAGATCCTAGGTAGCGAAAACGGTCGCTTTTTGTGATCTTCGTTAGATTGCTCCGGTCATTAGTGTGGATAAGTATATAAATGGATAGAGATAGGAAAGCAAACACAAGATGTACGTGGTTCACCCAGATTGGCTACGTCCACGGAATAGAAGAGTTCTCATTAATTGTGAAGGGTTTACACAAGTACATAGGTTCAAGCTCTCCTTTAGTGAGTACAAGTGAATGATTTAGTACAAATGACATTAGGAAATATTGTGGGAGAATGATCTCGTAATCACGAAACTTCTAAGTATCGGAGTGTGGTGTCGTCTTGACTTGCCTTATCTGTCTCATAGGTAGATGTGGCATCTTCTCTGGAAGTACTCTTCCTCCATCCAGGGGTGGTATCTTTAACTGGTGGAGATGCACAAGGTAATGTATCAATTTCACTTGAAGCTTACTTGTAGTTTCAGGCTTGGTCAAGCGCGATACAAACCATGTAGTAGGAGTCCCCCAAGTCGCCGAGCTAGGGGGTCTGCTGAAAGAGGTGACAGACAAGGTAAGCAATCAGAGCTCCGACTGATTGTTCACCTTCTCCCCATCTTGCAGCAGCATGAAGGATAAAGAGAAGAAAAATGAGAAGAGATGATATGAGATACTTTTGCTTTTGAAGAAGTAACTTTCCACAGGCTTATTCTTGAACTGAGCTGGAGGGTTTTCTGGTTTCCTCCAGAGTATAAGGCCGACTGAAGAATTTGAGGGTCAAAACAAGTCCATCAAATCTAGAGTACGTTCCACCCTGCTGCTGATATGGGATACTTTTGCTTTTGACAGAGTAATGGATGTATCGGCACGTGTGCTGTTACGCTTGTCTCCACATGCTTCCTTGTATCCTTCGCACTTGCCCTATCTGTTCCTCAAGCAGATGCGGAATCTTCCCTGGAAACATAAGATGTTGAAGATGAGTACTCGAGAGCAATGCCAGGTAAGTAATCAGGTAAGGGGTTCCAGGCAGTCAGTTCCTGGCTGGAAGCTTGATTCCAAGTGCTGACTGATTGCTCTCTTTCTCCTTGTCTTGCAGGTAAAAACAAGGCCAAAAGGAAAAGACAGGGAAAAAGCATGATATGGGATACTCTTGCTTTTAACCCTGATGATATGAGATATTCTTGCTCTAGTATAGCTTGTTTGCAGAGGTATTATCGGGGGGAAAGAAAGCTGAATATTTCGAAAGGCTTCGTTGGGAGTGCCCTCTCAGATATGATGAAGGGTTGAGCATTTTTGCAGGTCTGCCTGTCCGTTGGGGATGGAGGTCGACATATATATAGGAGTCTCCCTAACAACAAGTAGTAATGCTATTCCTTTACCCTGCTTGGTCATAGCACGGTAGTGGGAGCTGCCAGTTTCACATGTTTTAACTCTGTCAGAGCACTTTGAAAAAGTGGTCTGTGGTATCTGGCTCTCGAGATTCGGAGAACGATGCCTCTTCGATTTTTGAGAAAGCAATCATGCTGGGGGTCTGACTCTCGAGATTCGGAGAGCAGTGTCTTCGATTTTTGAGGAAGTAATCATGTTGGGAGTCTGGCTCTCGAGATTCGGAGGACGGTGCCTCTTCGATTTTGGAGCAGGCAATCTTGTTGGGAGTGTTTTCTCGAATGTGAGTAAAGGTTGGGCATGTTTGCTAGTCTACCTTGCCACGAAGCACAGAGGTTGACACACAGGGACTTTCCAATTATCCAGCAGTGGTACTGTTCCTTTACCCTTGTGGGTAATAATATGGTAGCTAGACCTTCAAAATTTATGGGTCTAAACTTTGTTAGTGCTGTTTCTTTGCTATTCTTTTACCCTTCTTGGTCAGAGCGATGTAGTGGGAGCTGCAAGCTTCACGTGCTCAACTTTGGCAGAGAACTTTGGCAAAGTTATCTGTGGTACCCATGAGCTATTGTTGCGTGTGGGAAGTGGGTGATTGAACAGTAAGATTCATGTGCTTTCTACTTCACCAGAAGTCTTCGACAGAATGCCCATAATTTCTGCAAAGCTGAGTGTGCGTGTGACAGGTGCTGACAAGGCTAGAAAAGTAGGTGCCTCTTCGATTTCTGAGATCGGCCCTCGTGGTCTCTGAGCAGCCCAGCTTTTGAGAAAGCGAGCGCCTCTTCGATTGATTCGGAGAACGATGCCTCATCGATTTTTGAGAAAGCAATCATGCTGGGGGTCTGGCTCTCGAGATTCGGAGAGCAGTGTCTCTTCGATTTTTTAGAAAGTAATCATGTTGGGAGTCTGGCTCTCGAGATTCGGAGGGCGGTGCCTCTTCGATTTTGGAGCAAGCAATCTTGTTGGGAGTGTTTTCTCGAATGTGAGTAAAGGTTGGGCATGTTTGCTAGTCTACCTTGCCACGAAGCACAGAGGTTGACACACAGGGACTTTCCAATTATCCAGCAATGGTACTGTTCCTTTACCCTCTCTTCGATTTTTAAGAAAGTAGTCATGTTGGGAGTCTGGCTCTCGAGATTCGGAGGACGGTGCCTCTTCGATTTTGGAGCAAGCAATCTTATTGGGAGTGTTTTTCTCGAATGTGAGTAAAGGTTGGGCAGGTTTGCTAGTCTACCTTGCCACGAAGCACAGAGGTTGACACACAGGGACTTTCCAATTATCCAGCAGTGGTACTGTTCCTTTACCCTTGTGGGTAATAATATGGTAGCTAGACCTTCAAAATTTATGGGTCTAAACTTTGTTAGTGCTTTTTTCTTTGCTATTCTTTTACCCTTCTTGGTCAGAGCGATGTAGTGGGAGCTGCAAGCTTCACGTGCTCAACTTTGGCAGAGAACTTTGGCAAAGTTATCTGTGGTACCCATGAGCTATTGTTGCGTGTGGGAAGTGGGTGATTGAACAGTAAGATTCATGTGTTTTCTACTTCCCCAGAAGTCTTCGACAGAATGCCCATAATTTCCGCCAAAGCTGAGTGTGCGTGTGACAGGTGCTGACAAGGCTGGAAAAGTAGGTGCCTCTTCGATTTCTGAGATCGGCCCTCGTGGTCTCTGGGGAGCCCAGCTTTTGAGAAAGCGAGCGCCTCTTCTTCGATTTCTGAGATCGGCCTTCGTGGTCTTTGAGCAGCCCAACTTTTGAGAAAGCAAACGCCTCTTCGATTTCTGAGATCAACCCTCGTGATCTCTAAGCAGCCCAGCTTTTGAGAAAGCAAACGCCTCTTCGATTTCTGAGCAGGCGCCTCTTCGATTTCTGAAGCTCCGTCGAGTGCAGATTTTTATAGGGGCTGGCATTAAGTTCCAAAGCACACTTGAATCTCCACCAGTAGAAGCTTCATTCTTGCACTTCTAAGATCTTGATTTGTCCGACCTCTTCTCTCTTCAACACCTTTGAAAATGTCTGGCCCCTCCGACCGTCGTTTTGACTTGAACCTTGTTGAAGAGGCAGCCCCGCCTTCTCCAGACAACATATGGCGCCCATCCTTCGTCTCCCCTACTGGTCCTCTTACCGTTGGGGATTCCGTGATGAAGAATGATATGACCGCTGCGGTGGTGGCCAGGAACCTTCTCACTCCCAAAGATAACAGACTACTTTCCAAACGGTCTGATGAGTTAGCTGTTAAGGATTCGCTGGCTCTCAGTGTTCAGTGTGCAGGTTCTGTGTCTAATATGGCCCAACGCCTATTTGCTCGAACCCGCCAAGTTGAATCATTGGCGGCTGAAGTGATGAGTCTCAAACAGGAGATTAGAGGGCTCAAGCATGAGAATAAACAGTTGCACCGGCTCGCACATGACTATGCTACAAACATGAAGAGGAAGCTTGACCAGATGAAGGAAACTGATGGTCAGGTTTTACTTGATCATCAGAGATTTGTGGGTTTGTTCCAAAGGCATTTATTGCCTTCGTCTTCTGGGGCTGTACCGCGTAATGAAGCTCCAAATGATCAACCTCTGATGCCTCCTCCTTCTAGGGTTCTGTCCAGTACTGAGGCTCCAAATGATCCCCCTCCGGTGCCTTCTCTTTCTGGGGCTCTACCGACTGCTGAGACTTCTCCTAAGCAACCTTTGTGAAGGCTCCCTCTTGTGTGTTTATTTTGACTCATGTATATGTACATATTTGTAGCTTATCGGGGATATCAATAAATAAGCTTTCCTTCATTTCAACGTATTGTGTTAAATACACCAAAGCCTTCTTCGCTAAGTTCTTTGAATTTTCTTTTTGTTGAAGCTTGTATGTTGAAGCTTTTGAGCTGAGTGGAGCATGTAGGTTGGGTAGTGTTCCCTTAATTTCCCGAGTGAGGAAAACTTCTCGGTTGGAGACTTGGAAAATCCAAGTCACTGAGTGGGATCGGCTATATGAATCTTAGAACGCCATTGTGCTCGATCCTGTGTCATGTCCTTCGTTAGATCCAAGTACTCTAAGTCTTTTCTTAGAGTCTCTTCCAAAGTTTTCCTAGGTCTTCCTCTACCCCTTCGGCCCTGAACCTCTGTCCCATAGTCGCATCTTCTAATCGGAGCGTCAGTAGGCCTTCTTTGCACATGTCCAAACCACCGTAACCGATTTTCTCTCATCTTTCCTTCAATTTCGGCTACTCCTACTTTACCCCGGATATCCTCATTCCTAATCTTATCCTTTCTCGTGTGCCCACACATCCAACGAAGCATCCTCATCTCCGCTACACCCATTTTGTGTACGTGTTGATGTTTCACCGCCCAACATTCTGTGCCATACAGCATCGCCGGCCTTATTGCCGTCCTATAAAATTTTCCCTTGAGCTTCAGTGGCATACGGCGGTCACACAACACGCCGGATGCACTCTTCCACTTCATCCATCCAGCTTGTATTCTATGGTTGAGATCTCCATCTAATTCTCCGTTCTTTTGCAAGATAGATCCTAGGTAACGAAAACGGTCGCTCTTTGGTATTTCTTGATCTCCGATCCTCACCCCTAACTCGTTTTGGCCTCCATTTGCACTGAACTTGCACTCCATATATTCTGTCTTTGATCGGCTTAGGCGAAGACCTTTAGATTCCAACACTTCTCTCCAAAGGTTAAGCTTTGCATTTACCCCTTCCTGAGTTTCATCTATCAACACTATATCGTCTGCGAAAAGCATACACCAAGGAATATCATCTTGAATATGTCCTGTTAACTCATCCATTACCAACGCAAAAAGGTAAGGACTTAAGGATGAGCCTTGATGTAATCCTACAGTTATGGGAAAGCTTTCGGTTTGTCCTTCATGAGTTCTTACGGCAGTCTTTGCTCCTTCATACATATCCTTTATAGCTTGGATATATGCTACTCGTACTCCTTTCTTCTCTAAAATCCTCCAAAGAATGTCTCTTGGGACCCTATCATACGCTTTTTCCAAATCTATAAAGACCATGTGTAAATCCTTTTTCCCATCTCTATATCTTTCCATCAATCTTCGTAAGAGATAGATTGCCTCCATGGTTGAGCGCCCTGGCATGAACCCGAATTGGTTGTCCGAAACCCGTGTCTCTTGCCTCAATCTATGCTCAATGACTCTCTCCCAGAGCTTCATTGTATGACTCATTAGCTTAATACCCCTATAGTTCATGCAATTTTGTACGTCGCCCTTATTCTTGTAGATAGGCACCAAAGTGCTCGTTCGCCACTCATTTGGCATCTTCTTCGTTTTCAAAATCCTATTGAAAAGGTCAGTGAGCCATGTTATACCTGTCTCTCCCAAAAGTTTCCACACTTCGATTGGTATATCGTCTGGGCCTATTGCTTTTTTATGCTTCATCTTCTTCAAAGCTACAACCACTTCTTCCTTCCGGATTCGACGATAAAAAGAGTAGTTTCTACACTCTTCTGAGTTACTCAACTCCCCTAAAGAAGCACTCATTTCATGTCCTTCATTGAAAAGATTATGAAAATAACCTCTCCATCTGTCTTTAACCGCGTTCTCTGTAGCAAGAACCTTTCCATCCTCATCCTTGATGCACCTCACTTGGTTTAGGTCCCTTGTCTTCTTTTCCCTTGCTCTAGATAGTTTATAGATATCCAACTCTCCTTCTTTGGTATCTAGTCGTTTATACATATCGTCGTAAGCCGCTAACTTAGCTTCTCTGACAGCTTTCTTCGCCTCTTGCTTCGCTTTTCTATACCTTTCACCATTTTCATCGGTCCTCTCCTTGTATAAGGCTTTACAACATTCCTTCTTAGCCTTCACCTTTGTTTGTACCTCCTCATTCCACCACCAAGATTCCTTTTGGTGTGGGGCAAAGCCCTTGGACTCTCCTAATACCTCTTTTGCTACTTTTCGGATACAACTAGCCATGGAATCCCACATTTGGCTAGCTTCCCCCTCTCTATCCCACACACACATTGGGTGATTACCTTCTCTTTGAAAATGGCTTGTTTTTCTTCTTTTAGATTCCACCATCTAGTCCTTGGGCACTTCCAAGTCTTGTTCTTTTGTCTTACTCTTTTGATATGTACATCCATCACCAACAAGCGATGTTGATTAGCCACGCTCTCTCCTGGTATAACTTTGCAATCCTTACAAGTTATACGATCCCCTTTCCTCATTAGAAGAAAAATCTATTTGTGTTTTTGACGACCCACTCTTGTAGGTGATCACATGTTCTTCTCTCTCTTCTTAAAGAAGGTGTTGGCTAAGAAGAGATCATATGCCATTGCAAAATCCAAGATAGCTTCCCCATCCTCGTTTCTCTCTCCCCAAAACCATGGCCACCATGAAAACCTCCATAGTTGCCTGTCTCCCTGCCCACGTGTCCATTTAAATCTCCTCCTATAAATAACTTCTCCGTCTGAGCAATTCCTTGCACCAAGTCTCCAAGATCTTCCCAAAATTTCTCCTTCGAACTCGTATCCAACCCTACTTGAGGTGCGTACGCACTAATCACATTGATAAGTTCTTGTCCTATTACAATCTTGATTGCCATGATTCTATCTCCTACCCTCTTGACATCTACAACATCTTGTACCAAGGTCTTGTCCACGATGATGCCAACACCGTTTCTCGTTCTATTTGTGCCCGAATACCAAAGTTTAAACCCTGAGTTTTCTAGATCCTTTGCCTTACTACCAACCCACTTAGTTTCTTGTAGGCACATAATATTTATCCTTCTCCTCACCATAACTTCCACTACTTCCATAGATTTTCCCGTTAAGGTTCCTATATTCCACGTTCCTAAACGCATTTTGCTCTCTTGAACTCTACCCTTCTGTCCTAGCTTCTTCACCCTCCCCCGTCTAATAGGATCAAAGTACTTCTTTTGTGTGTCCCGGGTAAAGTTGATAGGAGCATATGCTCCCAAACAAATTTGAGTGGAGTCGTTCGAAAAGAAGTTTCTATGGCCCCCTTGCTCATTTAACACTGCATCCGGGTGCCGATGGAGATACAGCGACCCTTGCTCACTTATCACTGTGCTCGGGCCACACAGCGCGCCACTTACGGGTGACGCCCTAGCTTTAGCGCGATTTTGTTCTGGATTCATTTTCATAAGGATTCGACGTGATCATGGAGTGCCGGCTGTCGACTACCTGACGCCCTCCCCCTCCTCCTTTATCCGGGCTTGGGACCGGCCATGTAAGACATAGGCGGAGTTAGTAGAATACAATTCATACAAAGAATTAAAATTTGTTAAAAGATGAACTGCTTGTGTACGGAATGTTTCAGGATTATGATCCTGTAGTGTTCAAGTCGTGTCTGACAAAATAAATAATATTAAGATTATACATGTACATACACAGGGACATTGTCTCTTGGGAAAGTGCTGGTGCATCGGAGAGCATTACAGGAGTTGTGTCCCTATGCATATTTCATCAAGTATATTTTCACCAAGTCAGTGTAATGGCAGTCTACCATTTAAAATCTAGTAAAATTTGTTGAAGATATGTTTGATACCTTTTGACTTGTGCTTTCTGTACAAGCATGTCCCAAAGATTTTCTAGGGGAGGACGTTTCTTTTAAGTGAAAGTTTTGTGCTTTAGTGCTGGTAGCTTTGCTTTAACATGCTTTGTACTTTTTGATTGAAGTTATGCAATAGCCCTTGATAGAGTCGTGATTAAAAGCTACTCTTTAATGGTTTTAGACTTTTAGATTTTGTAGTATTTTGCGCCATTCTATCCAGATTAAAATAGCTAATATTTATGAGGGTGTATCCGTGTGTGTATACCAGTGTATTAAAAGTGTGAGGCGTGGGCGAGGCGGCCGAGGGATAACTCAGCCTAGGCGTGAGGCGAAGCCTCACGGGACCTAAATTTTTTAATATATATACTGAGCGTACATATATATTATATTATAAAAAAAGAAGATTATTTACCAATAATCACCCTGAGCACACACATATATTATAAATATATATACACACATATACATATTATATATATATATATATATATACACAATAGAGGGTGAATAGCACAATGAGCACACATATAACAATACACACAAACAGCACACACATCCATTATATTAAAAATAAAAATCAGAAAAAAAAAGGCAGAGAGACAATAGTGCAAGGTAGAGGTATGAGGCAGTTAAGACCCTACCCAAAATTTGGGTTTGGCAGTTAAAACCCTTCCGCCACCTAGGTGACTCCTATGACGCCTTACGCCCACTCCCTCAAAACAGAGGCGGCAACCCTTAAGCCCAGCCTCAGAGGGCGCCTAGGCACGCCCTGAGATGAGCCTTTTAAAACATTGGCGTATTCTTAAAATAGGGATCTAGAGTATTTTTGTGAACAGTATTATGTTTGATCTATGCTAAGTGAGTATGAAATCGCAGGCAAAATAGTGCAGTCTACCATGGAAGAATGTCGAGAAGTTTTTGAAACCTGGATAAACATGGTATTATTTATTTATTTATTTTAGCATCTGTGTTGATTTTGGAGTTTGTCAGAGTTACCTAAAATTTTGCGTGCACTAATGTTTCATTCAGGCACATGAATTGTTGAAGAGGAAGAATCTTGAAAAACAAGAAGGTAGGACTGTTGTGCACAAAATTGAATCATGCAATTATTTTTATTGTGGATACTCTGATTAATTCATATAGTTATTTTCATAATCAGAGAGGATTCCTGCAGTTAGCATGGTTCAGAAATGTGAAGTTCATACTCAAATTGAAGCAGAGATGTGTGTACCTACAGAAAGGTTTTACGAGCCCAGTGAACACGCTAGGGTACAACACTTGTCTAAATCCATGGATGCGACCCAGCAAGTTGGGAGAGAATCTATGCTGAAATTCCACGCCTCTTTGAGAACTCAAAGCCAGCTTCCGTTGATCATAGTCATCGTGTTTGTTGTGATTTTCATCATGCAGGTATTTACTCTCGACCCTGTTGGTCAAATATTTGTTATCACGTGTTGGCCCTGGTGCTGAGGAATCCAAGATTGCATACCCCATAAATGGTTAAAGAGTATACATTTTTCCTTGAATTGTTGTCTTGTTGTCTTGTTGTCTTGTTGGATTAATTTGTTACTATTTTGATCTGCTACTAACCGCAGTAAAGCCAATTAAAATTGCTCTAGTTTGTGTACAGTGTGCAGCATGATGCATGATGTGACAGCATTCTTTGATGTTGGTAAAACGTATTTTGTTTCTTTGATTGTAGTTGAGCATACTTGCGCTATTAGCCAGACCCCAACACATCCATGTGAACTCACCTGTGGACTACGGGAGTGGCTTGGGTAGTCAAGTAGGTGAAAGATCATCTGAGGTTGTCACTTGGTTGGAGAAGCGAATCCACCACCTCAAAGACGAAATGCACTTGGTTGAGACTCGGCTTGAGAGTATGCGGCATAAACATACTCTGTTAAAAGATCAACTGGAGGACATTACTAAGCGCAGGTAACTTCCAATTGTATATCCTTCTCATTCTTCCAGTGGTTACAAAATGTATGTTGCTCGTTTCTTTCTTTGGGCTACAAAATTGTATGTTGTTCCATTCTGAAGAAAATCCATAAACTTGTAGAGAAAATTGTTGATTGAAATTTATAGTTTGTCATTCCTCTTGAGAATGGTGAATCACGGCTTGTTAGAATGCTCTCATTTGATTTCAAGCGATCAATTAAACAGCTTTGAGTAATTATGTATAATATGAAAAAGCACTAGTTTCTCTTTTCATTTTCCTTGCCTTCCTTCTTGTGTTCTTTTAGGGATTTGGATCCCCTCTCCGGACCCTCATTGTGAGGATCCGGAGGAGATACAAATCCTTCTTTTAGTAAGTGTTTCAAATGAGTAGATTGTTCATGGCTTAATTATTTATTAGGCAAAGCTTGAGTAAGATGATTTAACTGTGTGCTAACTACATCAAATTATATGTATTTACCATTTATCATGCTCCTCTTTTTAAAGTTGTTAGACTATTATTTTTTTTAAATTTTATTTTACATGTGAAAAGACGTGACTTAATTGCATTGAAACCATTTGTTTAGTTCTCATTGCTCGAGGCACAGTCGAGAATAAATCTAGCCCCTTCGAGAACGACCCGAGCCCATCTTTGACACCTCCCGAGTAATATGTCAACAAGTTCATATAACACTTGGGACAAAAAGAGATGACTCAGACAAGCATTGGAGATGGGCTCGACTCGACGGGGGCGGGGGCGGGGGCACAAGCAATTGAAACTAGGCAAACCGTTTGATAGTGGTGCCACGGAGACTCCGAGCAATTGGGCGCTTCACCGGAGCTTTTAGGGTAGTTGACGTAGGAAAGTATTTAGCCTTTAGGACTCAAGACTCTGGATAATAGAGTCTCAGGCCCTGTTTTGGTAGGGAGACCCTAGAACCTGCTGTAATTTGACTAACACTAAAATCCCTAGAACCGGCTATAATCTTCCTTAATTTCAGGACGAGCGTTTTGGCGGCTGTAAACCCTTTAGTTCAGCCTTAACTCTAGGGTCAAGGGTGCCGTGTATGCTTAACTTTCCCTAAGTTTCTATATGTACAACTTTCTTGTAAATCAGAAGCACAGGTGAATATACAAAAATTTGGTTCACAATTTCATCAGAGTATCAGAGTGGTATCCTTATTAGGCATGTCTATGCATATCCTTTTGGTCTTCTCAGCCAACAAAAATGGCATAAGAAACTTCAGTAGATCAAGAGGTAGAAAGCTCAACTGCTTCTCATCTTACAAGTTTTTCAGAGGTTGACGTCAACCTAAATCAAGGGCCCAGTTCGGTTTTGTTGAATGAATTCAACCATCTCCCTTGGTCATGAGCAGTCACTTTGGCTCTTGGTGGAAGGGTCAAGCTCGACTTCATAATGGAGTCATCCAAGCTCCTGAGATTATGTCTCCAAATTATGAAGCATGTTAATGCAAGGACCAATTGTTCATGTCATGGCTTTTTAGCTCGATGCAGAGGAAGATTGCAAAAAATTTCTACTTATACAGATTCATTACAACACTAATTTCAATTACTAAAACTAAATAACAAGTTTCTTTTTTTGCTGGAGGATTTTGATGTAGACGTCTTGACAAAACTACTTAAGCTGTAACATACATGAAAATGTATTGTGCAAGAATCCACACAGTGCCCTTTTTGTTATTTATTTACTTCTGTGGAAGAAAGTGGAGGAGATGTATGGTAATCAAAACAACTCAACTCAAATTTTCCAACTCAAAGGAGATGTTGCAGCTTTTCAACAAGAGGCCAGGTCCTTTGTGCAACATCTTGGTGACCCCACCGTTGTGTGGAATGAACTTGATGTCTATCGAGCTCATACCACAGACGTTGCTGTGTTATTAAAGAGAGCTGAGAAAGATCTTGGTGACCCAACCGCTATGTGGAATGAACTTGCTAGCCTGAGCCCAGACTATGAAGACCTCAAAAGCCACATCTTGATGACTCAAAACTTCTTTCTTATTCCAGCGTGTCTGCCACCATTTAATGTGGTTAGAAGACGAGTCATGGACTTGGATATGAAAGCAACCATGCAAGAGTCACTGGTCAATTAAGGCAAAAGGTTACAAGGGCAAACGCCATGATCTGAAGTGTGAGCACTATGTTAAAATTGGTCATTTGGGAATAGGGATAGATGCTGGATTCTTCATTAAGAGTTGAAACCAAAATTCAACAAGGATGGCAAGGAACATTCAAGATTGCTCAAAACTCACCATACAAGGCAATCATGCAGCTACTGCAGCCTTTACTTCCACTGACAGTCCGTTTGACTTGACTTCCAATCTAGCCATGTTGTTAAATGAATTTGCTGTATACTTTTCAACAAGAGTAGGAGCTGAGAAACACACTACCTTGATTGGAAAATCTGCTGGATTCCTAGTCAAGGGAGTTACACTTGAAGATACTTTAGATATTCTCAGTGCCTTCTTAATTGTTCCCAGTACTAATCTTACACATGATTATTGGATCATAGATTTGGGTGCCACTGACCACATGACAAATCAATTTCAAAACTTGAGTGAGTTTAAAAAACGTCATCCAAAGTTTCAGTCACTAATGGGAAAGGTATCTCGGTCATGGGTAGTGAGAAATTCATTTAATCTCCAAAGATGTTGAGTCCAAAACACTCTTTGTACCCTCATTCCCATTTCAACTTATGTCCGTAGAAAAAATCACCAAAACTTTAAATTATCTTGGAAGAGCATACTGGAAACCATTTGGCAAGTCAAGGGACCTTAAAATCCGCTCATTTTCTCACCTCATATGAGATTTTTCAGGTAGCCATCAAGAAGACGATTAGTGAAGTTTTTATTTATTTATTTATTTTCTCTTTCTAAATGGCCTCTACTACTTGTCAAAGGATTTCCCATCATCAAGAGGCTACAAGTTAGTTCAAGCCAACTTGAAGACCTGTACTTGTGGCATCAACGTCTAGCTCACCCATCCAAGCCCATTTTGTCTTAAGTTGTTTCTTAGTTTGTGTCAAACACATAACAAATTTTCTTTCCAAATTTGCTAGGCTACCTATTACTCTCTCTTTGTCTAGAGCTAGTAAGCCTTTTGAAATTGTACATTCGGATGTTTGGGTTCTGTCATTGATTCATTTAATGGCTATAAATAATTTTGTGACATTTGTTGACGATTTCACTAAAACCACTTGGCTATACCTCATTCGGTGGCTATAAAGTTTTGAAGTGAAGTTTCTAACATGTTCAAAGACTTTAACAATCTTATTATACTCACTTTGATTCCAAAGTCATTATTAAGATTGGACAATTGCACCGAATACATGTCTAGCACCATGTCCCAACACACCTCAACAAAATAGGGTGCCCGAGAGGAAAAATAGAGATCTTCTTGAGAAAACTCGCCAACTCATGATTCATATGAACATCCCCATATGTTTTTGGTCTCAAGGTGTTCTAATCGCGGTATATCTCATTAATCGACTCCCTATTCGAGTGTTAGAATTCAAATCTCCTTATGAAACCTTCAAGGGTCGACTTATTGACTTATCACATAGAAGGGTAGGTGGGTGTACTTGCTTTGTTCACATACAAACACCTCATCATGATAAGTTGGACCCTAGGGCTGTGAAGTGGATTTTCATGGATTATTCTTCAACTAAATGAGATTACAAGTGTTTTAATTCTATTACTAAAAAAATTGTTGTGTCAAGAGATGTAAAGTTTGAGGACTCCTTACTTGACGCAAGATAAGAATTCATGTCAGGGGAGCTATTGTTTGATCTTTTTTTTGCTGCCAAACCCTAACTCTGAGGGATGTGATTCTATTTGTAACTTACTGCTATTTCACCCAGTAGAATCTGCTTGTCCTTTGACTGAGCCACAGCCCGAGCAAGAACCCTTGCAACCTTCATCATGTCATCACCATTATGCTTAGATATCACCTGAAGTTGCTACAGTTCCTGAGCTACAACTCTATATTAGACGCAATACTACACGCACTTGATAATCACCTGACAAACACATCGACTATGTCAGCTTTGCAGTTCGTCATCCACTTTTAGGTGCCCTAACTTATCAGGAATGCTTATTATCTCATGTTGCATTCGTTAGTGCGATCTCAATGTTCTATGGGCCAACTACTTTTCAAGAAGCTAATTTGCATCAAGAATGGCGACAAGCCATGATAGAAGAATTATGTGCACCGAATAACAATAATACTTGAAGTATTGTCAAACTTCCATAGGGCAAGAAAGCATTTGGCAATCGTTGGATTTACAAAACTAAGTCCAATTCAAATGGCTCTATCGAGAAGCACAAGGACAGATTGGTGACTCGGGGTTTCACTCAAACTTTTGGGGTATACTACAAAGAAACCTTTGCCCTAGTGGCCAAGATGAATACTGTCAGGGTTCTCCTCTTTATTGCCATTAATTATGGCTGGTCATTGTTCCAAATGGATGTAGAAAATGCGTTTCTCCATGGAGAGCTTGAAGAGGAAGTTTACATGCAATTACCTCCAGGTGATCCTTAAGCTTCCACTGAGGGGATTGTTGCAAACTGCACAAGACCATATATGGCTTAAAATAGTCGCCCTGTGCCTGGTATGCAAAAGTGAGTTCTGTCTTGGAGAAAGTGGGAGTTCGCAAAAAGCAATACCAACGCCTCACGTTTGTTCAAATTGGGTCAGCAAGCACTGGTTGTTTTGATTTATGTTGACGATCTTATTATCATTGGGGATAATATGGACGAGTTTGCTTCACTTAAAAAGGGGTCTCCATCAATAGTTTGCCATCAAGGACCTTGGTAGGTTGAAATATTTCCTTGGTATCGAGATGGCAACCTCTTCCAAGGGCTTGTTTTTAATCGACAAAAGTATGTGATGGATCTCCTCCACGATTCAGAGATGCTTGATTGTAAACCAGCCCGTACTCCCTTGGATTGCAAGTTTAAGATGGACATGGAAGCTGAGTTGCTCACCAATGTTAGCTATTATTAGAGGTTAGAAGGTAAATTGATTTATCTCACTATTACTCGTTCTGACATCGCATATGTTGTGAGTTTAGTCAGCCAATTTATGCATTCTCTTACTGTCAAACATCTTATTGTTGTAAAACGAATACTAAGGTATCTCAAAGGTTTTATTGGGCGTGGTATTATCATGCAAAACCACGATTCCACACAAATTCAAGGCTACACCGACACTGATTAGGCAGACAATGCCCTTGATGGCAAGTCAATCACAAGCTACTG